TCAGCAAGAAGCCTCTGGATGACTTATACCAATTTCTGTACTGGTGAATATAAATGCAAAAGTTAATATTCAGAAAGTAAAGACACTAAAAGTTGGAATAAGCTTCACTTGGAAGTAAATGTGACAAATTTAAACTTTTGAAGGTTTGCAAGCATAAATTATCATGCTTTATATTATTTATTTAAATCCTTACTTTGTAGAAATGGTAGCTATTTTCCTTTTTCAAGATTTTCTCTAAGGATGCACAGATTAGGAGCTGATTTTATTATAAAAGCATGCTAAGGCAAACACATGGTATAATTGTTCATAGTTGTAAGAACTTCCAAGTGCCTTAGCACCATCTCTGGCAAGAGAAATGTACTGGTTTCTTCCTTATGTTTTTAAAAATTAATGTAATATTAATATACTAAGCCGATTTTAATAAGAATTTATTAGATTCTTTTGTATTGAGGAGATAGAGAATTCTATTCTTCAAGTTCTATTTTAATATAAATGTCACATTCAAAAGAATATCAGAAAAAATAATCAGAACAGACAGCAAACTTTGATGCTACAGAAAGAACGAGAGAGGCACATAAGTATGATTTTTATTTAAGACCTCTACTTAGAAGCAAATATTCTCTAGTATAATAAAAATCCATTTAAACTAACAAGGTGAAATAGTAACAGACTGATTTTTTTTTTCTTGTAAAGCACCTGATGATGTACATACTGATGACAAAAGACATTCAATAAGAATACTCAATATGTGGTAGGACTCAGTGATTATATTTTCGCATTACAGTTTATTAGAATTTTTTTAAGTCTATGTGGTTATTTTTCCCCAAAATGGCCTCTAGATAGTTCATCTTGCAATGAAAATGCACCATTATCATGTAGTGTCATTAACAGTTCAAAAATATCTTGTGTAAAATTCTCCCAATTGTTTTTGTGCTAAACAGAACCCTTTTGAAGTTATATTATAAGAATCTTCTAAATATTTCTTAACATCTTATGTAATTATTTATATGTTTTGTTCCACCCAAAGCTGGTCTTTCCTTGGCACATATCTAAGCTTTAGAGGACTAGGTAAGGTTAAACCATTTCCAATGGTAAACCACATCATACTTACACATTCTAAAAACAAAATGAAACCTAAGAAACTCATTTTATTGTCTATTATGAAGGCATTTTTATATTTTCTCAATTTTCCTTGGCCTACTACTTTTGCTATTTTTCCCTTTTCTTCCAATGAAAGACTGAATATACAAATAAGCAGTCAGACCATGTATGGCCACAGAACACTGATCCAGAACCTCTGGAGTGACCATCCTGGGAAGCCAAACTACCTCTGTAGCAACATGCCCAGAACGACTAAAATTTGTTTGGTTTCTTTCAGCTTTCTTTCCTTTCCTTTTCTTTCCTTTTCTTCCCTCCCTCCTTCCCTCTCTCCATCTCCTCCTCCTCTCCCTTCTTCATTATTATTGTGGTAATTACAAAAGGAATAGTCGTTCCTTCCTTCCTTCCTTCCTTCCTTCCTTCCTTCTTCTTTATCCCATTCTTCCAACTTAGGATCTACCAGAGAAAGTCAAACATGCCCTCCAAACCAATCCCCCAAGATGTCCCACTTCTAGTTCATCCACCTCCAGTGTCCTCATGCCAACAATCGACAATCAGAACATACCTGAGACATTCTCTTTTTTCTATTCTAAAGCTTTTCCACTCTCCTGTCCGCCTTTGAATCTCTGCCAAATGCATGTGAAGGTGGCTGCCTCCCTTGCTACAGCAAGCTCAGAATAATAAACTCTGTTATCATTTGATTGGCCTTTGTTTATTTTCACACCATACATTTATAAGGGAAAAAAAAAAGGAAAATTTTTAAATCGATAATGATTTTTACTCTTTGATATAATATGGGAGTGTCAGAAAATATTACATTATACCACAAAGGGAACAGATTTGCAATGTGCATTCTTGTAAATTCAGATTTCAGTGCTGCCTTCTCCTGCACTGTAAAATCCTTTACTCTTTGAAGCCTGACATGCAACCCCAGCCTAATGACTATAATCATTAACTATTGGATTTCTTTTTTCCCACATTCTATAGGTATGGAGCAAAGCTGGGGAAAAAAAACTGATATTCTATAGGAAAACGACTTTGCGCCCGACACTTGAGTAAGCACTCTATGTGAAGTATCTCTTATAATTCTCATAGCGATCCTCATTCATTCAACAGTCAAGTATTTCTTGAGGATGTAGTTTGTGCCAGACACTTTTCTAGGTCTTGAATATGTAAATAGTGGGAAAAGGGACATTTTTTTTTCCTTTTTAGTAGAACATGTATTCTTGCTAGGAACACAGCCTTTTTAAAATGTACATGTAAATACATAATTCCCCATTGTAATAAGTGCCAGGTAAGAAAGCTACAGAGTACTCTGAGAAACTCAAATTTGAAAGGGACTTAGGAGACACCTATCTAAGGAAGTAATATTTAAGCTATGATTCCCAGGATGAATAAGAGTTAGCCAAGCAAAGTGGGTAGGGATGGGTATTCCAGACTGAGAAATTCTGTTGTCAAAAAATAGAAATCTTTGAATCTGTGAGAAAATGAAAAAAAGTCAGTGTAGCTGGAGAAAACATCGGAGAAGGTGGTGAGAATTAAGAGAGAGAGGTAGGGAATGAATTGTAAGTGTAAGGGTTTAAATAGAGGAATGACATGAATGGATCAATTTACTTTTAAAGACATCGGCTGGCTGCTGTGGTTTGGAGAATGGATTACAATGAGGAGTAGGACAGAGAGGATTTGGGGAGCTCTAAATTAAATGTCAGGTGAAAGGTCTCCTGGCTATGATTGCAACAAGAGATGTGGAGAGAAATGGATGAATTCTAAACATATTTTGAAAGTAGAATATGCAATATGGTCTTTGTACTGAACAGAAGAATTCAAACTGAGGGAAGTACTTATTCTGATTTTCCAAAGAGGAAAATTATTTTCTAATTATAGGTACTAAAGTATCAGGCTCTTGAAACAAATTGTCGTATTATTGCCTGAGGTAAACAAAGTCACTTGCTGTGTATTTTTCCCCTCATCCCCCCTCCACCCTCTGTTTCACAGGAGGCCCTGCCATGGCCCCAAGAGCTTGTTTGGACAGATGTGTTTGGCTGTGTATGTGGTATTGGTGACCCTTCTTGGACCATGGCTAACCGGGCTGAGTTCCAACCAAGGTGCCTATCAACAAAGAGTGGAAAGGATTCACACTGATCTAATGGGCACTATTTAAGTGGAGAAGATGTGTTCATAGTAGCATTTTAAGCCAAAGGTTAATTCCCTGAACATGTCCAACCTCTCTCTGTTTGTCAAAAATATAACCTGTTTCTTCCTGGTTTATTTAGTCCACAGTTGTAAACAACAGAGAATGGCTTTCATCCTATTAACTATTGAAATCCTAAGGTTTACATTCCAGAAAATGACTCAAAATCTATCATTTTTAATGACATATAAACAAGATATATTTTTTTAAAGCACTTACTACTGCCTGATCCAATATTATAATTTTATGAGTTCGTTTATTATTGGCAGGTTTCCTTCACTATAGTATACCTTCGTAATGGCATAATATAGATGTTCCCTGCATCTCTGCTAGAGAATTAATCACACAAATGAAGTATGCTGGTCAAAAATGACCAAGACAAAATTAAGAAAAGACAGTAACATGAGAAGAAATAATAGATAAAGCCAACATTTTACACATTTTTTTCTTCATTTTCCTCACCCAGTCATAAGATAGAATTGAGGATAGTTAAAATTCTTAGTCTCAACTCCTATAGATATGGCATATCAGGGCTCCTTTACAGACCATGGTATTCTCACTTCAGCCTGTCCAACAGGGAAACCCTTTGCATTCTACTTTTTTTGAGATAAAGAATTTGGCACAGAGAAGCCAGGTGGAAGGATGAAGCTCACATGCTTATGATAGAAATAGAATTGTAATTTAAGCCTCCTGAATCACTGTGTATTTTGACTGAACCTTCCAAACTGTGAACTCTATCAAGGTAGAAATCCTGTCTTTTCATCTATGAGTTAGTAACTATACTTTTCAGGAAAAAATAAAATAAAAGTAAAATCAACAAGATTTATTAGTGTTCATGAAACAAATATTGCTATTACCCATCTTACAGCTGAACGCTCTGTTTCAAAGGGATTATGAAACTTGTTCGTAAATAATAAATGGCAGAGCAAAGATTCGAGGCCAATTATGTCTGAATATAGTCCTTGATCTCTTAACCATTCTACTAAATTAAAAAAAAAAAAATGACTACCTTTTGCTACTTAGCAGCACTTTATTTCTACTGAGTAAAAGTCATGTCTGCCACAATGGCACTTTCAAAACATTTATATTATTCTTAAGACCTGCCTAAACTAAATCCTACCTCCATTTTTTAGCTGATGATTTCATGTACCAATTTTTAAAGATATCAAAAACATTTATGTGAACTCTTTTAATTCTCTTTCTCTCTAACTTGCCTTTGCTTATTCTCAATAGTTATCTATCTTCTCAGGAGATTTGTGCCAATTTCTTTCTAATGTTAATATCTTTCACTAATTTCTTCTCTAGTCTTTGATTTCTATCCTTTATCATTGACTTCTCCCACTTTTGCCACCTGGCTTCTCTTGAAAACAGCCCCAATGCTTTGCTATTTTTTGAATTAATAAGCTTTCTAAAGGTTCAGTTAATATCTTCTCTCACTGTTTATATATCTCTCACTTACACTCTCAGAATAGTTCTAAATTCATGGCTCCATACTGAAATTATTCCAAACTATATCCTCCCAAGCAACCATAGGTCTTCAGGCTATTCTCTCTGTAAACTCACATTGTATACTGATACATTGCAAATACCTTGACACGGTGTTCACTGAATGACTTAAAATTAGCATGTTAGCTCTATTTCCCACTTTTGCTGTATGCACATGTGTTCCATTTATTAATTAAAAGTAAATAAAGTGAATGCCTGAAAGTACCTTTTCCAGACCTTCTTCTTTGAGGCTAATCACATCCAAATCAAAATCTGTTCGTAAGCCATTGGTTTTGTTGAAAGTTATTCTGCCTGTGAGACCTTCCCAATGTGCCTATGGGAAAAGAAAAAAAGAAAAAAAAAACCACATAGATTAGTATATAAGTAAAGAAAGAGAAGAGAAAATATTTTTCCACACAAAAAAACATATTATTTTCATTACTTCTCATAAACTTACTGCTATAGATTTTTAAAACATTTCTTATTCTCTTCTGAACTTTGAGAGATTTTTTTCTAAATAAATTATTCTAGTCTCAGTGTGAAATTTATTGTACCTTTTTCATTTTAAATAACCATATTTTCTAGATATAACTTTTCTTTATGAAAAATTTGAAGATTATGTTTTAAACAGCAAACTTCTTTTAGCAAAGTGGAAGAATTTAGTCATTTATGATATATGAGACAGTGAATATCTCACTGGAGATTATGAACAGAATTACTATAATAAAATACCACTGCTAAATTCATACTAATATGAAAATACACTTATTTTACTACAATGAAAGAAACTGAATCTAGAAAAATCTACCTTATACAATTTTGATTATATACTTTCCACTTAGAAAACTAACATAACTGTAGTTTTCCTTAAGTGAGACTGGGAGAAATATATCAAAATAAATTTGCATCAAGTTATACTTCCTGTAGAAAGAAGTGAGAATATAATTTTCTACTTACATTATGGGTTCACCCCTCAAAGTTGAGCAAACATCTGGGCTTTTTCAAAAATATAAAACGTTTCCCATTCTGCTGGCTATATAGCCAAAAATATATATGTCCCATTATATGTCATTTGAAAATAGCTTGGGATAATTGTTATATATGAAAAATTTAAATAATGTAATATGTATTCACAACTATCATGTTTGAAAGAATATATATCAAGATCCAAAAGAGGTAAAGCCCAGTAGATCATGAGGCATATTTCAATAAGGATTACAAATGAATATTACCATTACTATATTTCTTAGGCTTCATGTGTTTCTTGGGTAGTTATGTGTAAGTATTGTAAAATAGTTTTAGGCTGATAAATTACAAGTAAAATAGAAAAAAATTATAATATATATCTATATTCATATTGCAAAGTGTCATCACTGAGCTTAAACATGTTAACCGATCTCCAACAAGAAAAACAATTATTTTTAACCCAACTGCTTCCAAAAAAAATAATTTCAAGTAATTAACAAAAATGCATATTAGTATAAAAATAGACAATGCTATCATAGGGTATAGGAATAGAAGTGAAGAATAGTAAAACAAATCTTGGATAGAGATAGTACAAGGAAATATACATCAGGTGAAACTCTACAACTAAAAAAATTCAGTCACAAATTCAATTCTGAACTTCCTAGCAACCAGAATAAAGAAAATATGATGAAAACACAATATGTGGGGTCCATAATTTAAGACATACCAAATACCCAGGAGAAGCACAGCTTTTCCTGGTACTGAGACCTGAGAGAAATGTCTCCTTTTGGTGCTCAGAAGGAGGACAGTGTAATTTAGTGGACAAGGTCCTCAGTAACACCCTACAATAAATACAATAGTGAGTTTCATACAACTGCTTTCTATAGGGATGTTTGACACATGCCTCATTAATCAAGTGCTGCATTCCAAAAAATATTTTTTCAACTAGCCCAACCTGTGCACTGTTTGCAACTCTCTGATGCTGTTTGTTTTAAACTAGAAGTAAATGTATAATGTGGAGTAATAATTGAAATGTATATTCTTCAGAGAGTATCATTTTACCATCTAAGAGTTTGATAAAAATTAGACAAGGAAAAATCATTGATATTCTTTGCCAAGGACCTGGAGAGTCTTAATTATGAGCCTATTTGCACTTTTATTTTCATGATGAATAATTTATTGTATAATAAACTGATTTCTTATATACCATTAATGAAAAATCTTATGATAAAAATACCTGTGATTTTTCATAGCAAAGATTAAACTTTCATAGTTAAACTTTCATATAAATACTCCCATTTTAATCAAATGAAAAGTATCCTAAGTTGACAAAGGAGTTTCCTTCATGATAGGAAGAATATAAACAATAAAGACAATATATATAATTTTATGTGTGTGTGTGTGTGTGTGTGTGTGTGTGTGCACGCACTTTACTTTTAAGAATTTTCCCTTTTTTTCTCACCATAGGCCTGCTTAATTTATAACTATAACAGATGTAATAAGAAATGATGTATGGCCATAAGAATGGTTGTATTATGCAATATGAAGTAAGCTTTGCATTTTTATGAATCCATATATTGTTTTATGTTAACTGTTAATATAATTAAAATAACTAGACACTATATCTAAGAACCATAGATCTAAATAATAATTTAAGATTTACAGCTTGTTTTTAATTTAGTGCGAATGGCATTCATACTAAAAATTCATTACATATTTTGTTGCCTAAAATATAAACAAACATTGTTTAAACATCTATATCTCCACATAAATGAAAAAAAAAACGCACATAAAGATTCAGGAAAGGGAAATTAACAATATAATAAACTATAGATCACAGATTTTCATCTGTTTACACAATTATAGATATTTTCAAGGATGTTCATTTATTTACCATGTAATTTTCCCCCTTTTATGCCATATTATTTAGTAAAAATGTTAATTTTGCTTGTATGGAAAAAGAAAGTTTAATTTAAATGGTAACAGCAAAAGGTCACCGATTAGGAAAACTTCAATACTCTTAATGCAGTCATCTTGAGGACAAAAGAAACAAGGCAGACTTGCATTTCCTAACATACCTCTTTAATTAGACTCATAAAGCGGGTCCCGAAGCGCCAGGGTTTGTGTCGATTACACTGCAAGGAGCTGACTGTCATTTGGGGAAATTGTTGCACGCCCACAGACACCACGTGAACAGCATCATACATGAGAGCGGCATCCGTCTGAAAGCCAAGAAAAAAGGAAATATGGAGTCAATACAACATGTGAAACCCATGATGGGCAATTTGGAAGTAGAGAGAAGAAAGAGGTGAGAGAAATATGTACCCAGTTTTTCTTCATATTAGGAAGAAAACAGTATTTTCGCATGCTCTGGTTCTCTTAGATAAGATATTATATGATCCAATTACTATACCAGCTCCGTTAGAACATTTGACCGACCCTTCCTTCCTGGAAGTGATAACCCCATTTTATATTGTCTAGTATCTCTGTTGATGTTAGAAATGTGTGAAGACATTCATTATTCCATTTTTGTTACTACATCTGTCTCTGTCTTACCCTCTCATTACACAGACATACACACAGTGAAAGCAACTGCCAACATACTGAATGTCTACATAAAATTACATATTGTATATAACAATAAATAAGTAACCAATTTCCTTGTACGGGAACAAAAAAAGAGATTTGATGGGAGATTTACCTAAAAACTTAAAAATATAAACCCTAATCTTTTCGATTCAATTCTTCAAAAGCTTCAATCTCAGAAATGAAGCTACAGTTCTGAATCTCAATACAAGTATTAATCCCTTTTCAAGAAACTAAGCTTAATCCCCTCTACTGTTTTCTTTTCTCAAAATTTCCATATGAATGAAAATTCATTTTGGCTTCTCAAGTAAAATGAATATGAATTCTACTGTGTTTGCACCTGCTCAAATGACTGACCACTTTAGAGGTTGATGCAAAAAGAAAAAAATGTTTATAAGTCATAACAAACCAGAAGCTCAGCGACTGTCAGATTCTGTGTTAAATGGACCCTCACATTGTGTTTGACAGATCGATGCCAGGCTCACTACCTACAGAAGAGGGCCACACTGACAGTGCTGGGAGCAATGAACTTTGGGCCATCTGCTTGGCATGCTTCAGAATAAAAGCATATATTTCCTCTTCTCATTCACACAATTAGTGAGCTGTGAAATGAATTACAAAATGAATAGGAACCCTGTAGATTATAGCGTTTACCACAATATAATACAAAATGAGTACACACGGTAGCTTTCATGCAAATGGATCCTAAGGAGCTCTATCACATAAAATGGAAGAGAGCTAAATAGCACAATGCAGTGACAGAACATAATAATAATGCCATTTTATAGTTCATAAATCTTGGCGGTAGATAGCTGAGATTCATAACCTTTATTTTGTAAATATCAGCTAACTACTTTCACATATTCTGATGGCTGCATAGTGAAAGCCAGAATAGTGGGATTGATACAGGCATGCATCATGAGCCTGAGGTTTAGACTGATATTTGTCCTTGGCTTGAGTTAACATTCAGAGGACATATTTCATATACCACATAGATGGTCATATAAATAGTTACCAAGTTATGAAAGATATATCAAAATAAAATGAATATGTTTTAAATATCACTGTTAACAAAGTATAGAGAAATAAACACTTGCAGACACTACTAAATGAAAGATAAAGGGCAATTTTGCAATTTGAACCACAAAGGAGCCTTAAAAAAATCTATGTTCTTTTTAACCCAGTAATTACTCTAAGAAAATCAGAGATAAGAACAAAGCCTACATACATCACTCAGTTAAAAAAAAAAAATAGATAAAAGTGGAAACCTATTGAATGTTCAAAATGAGAAAAAATAAAAATATCACAATGATATTTTATATAATCATTAAAAATCATAGTTTGAAAAATAGTTCGATCAGAAATTGCATGTGATATGCTAAATGTAAAAATAGATTATACAGAATTGTATTTCCAGTATAAACCATTAAATATATCTTTATAAGTACTCAATATAGGCTTTTTAACTTATTTAACACTCATGATAATGATTTAATAAAAACACTACTATTGTTCCCATTTTACAGATGGAAAAACCAAGGTAGAGAGAAGTGAGATAACTAACCAATGTCACACAGTTAAGAATTAGAGAGAGGCCTAGATTTAAATAGCTTCTCTGCTCATAGCTTCTATTCTTAACCACCATATTGCATGCTATATGAACAAGAACTAAAAAAAGAAATCAAAGAGAAGAAAATACACTAAAATGATACCGGTGATTACTCTTTGAATTAGTAATGAGAATTTTAATTTTTCTTTTTCTTGATTTTTTAGCTTAAGATGGAAGTTTACTAAACACCACTGCAGTTATTCCCAAGATGAAAATTTTTATCTATTTCCACAAAAGAACAGACTATGAATATCTACTATCCTGCCATGCTTTACTACTCACTTACATGATCTTATGTAAATTTTATATGAAAACCTTAGAATAAGAATTTATCTTAAATGACAATCCTAGGAAGGAATTATACCTAATTCAAAATTTAAAAAATCATTTTTGGTACATAGTTTCAACTTCAAGATCAGAAGAAATACTAGTTGATAATAAAACTATTTGAGATTTGCGATTTTAAGTGTAATTATAAAAAAGACAGTATTTATGAAACTATAAGTTAAATACTGAAGAAAAAATAGCAAGTAGTTAAAAAATTGTTGACCGAATTACTTCTTGAATTCCCAGTTTAAAATATGCCAATTTATGTTAAAGCTATAAATGGAACTTCTGAAACTGTGCTGTATGTATTTTCATCAGTTTAAGGTGCTTTTCCTTTTCCTACTTTTAGACTAGTTGTTTTATGTGATAATATGGACTTATTTTCCATTTAAATTTGATATCCTGTCAGACTCACTTTTTTTCTTCTTTGCAAAATTGTACATATGCAAATTGTTCCACCTTTGAAAAGTTGTGAGAAAATTCTAGTGTTTCAAAAATGTTTTTCTTATTTTTACAAAAATGCATGTTTGAAAATCTATCTTATATTAGTAATGGTATTAATTAACATTTGTTCAGTATTTACTATGTGTGTGACATTCTCTTTACATCATTTCCTTTATTTCTCATGACCATCATCCAATTGAAAATCCATTGAGTTCTTATCAAATAGGAAATTGAGGCAGAGAACAGTTAAGTAACTGGCCTAAGATTATAGCATGTGGAGGTGAATCTGGATTTGAATTCAGGCAATGTGTCCAGAGTTTACAACCTTCTCTCTAGGATTTTGCTCAGTGCTCTACGTTTAATAAACCAAAATAGTTTAAGTGATTTTGAAGTTATAAAATATAAGAAATTTCAATAAATACTTAAATGTATTAATCTGTATTCCTTTTTATAAGCAATAAATATTTACATAATAAAAATGCACTGCCAAGTAAGGAAAAGTATAGATTGTAAAGAATTGATAAATATAAATTCACAAAAAAGAAATACATCAATGTATGGGATTGAGTCAATAATAAGTTAGTTAGGAAGTTAGTAAAATTAACCAAGAACAATTTTATGAAAGGAGATTTCCTCTATACAGTTGCTGCTCAGCAGATTTTTTTAGAAGGCAGAGGTCCTAGAGTATGTTTTCAAGATCAGATTTAAAGGGCCTCTCTTACCCTTAGCTCTAAATTGTAGAGATTGATTGAGCTGCTCTTGCTAAATCTTCCACTCTCTCATACTGACTCTATAATCCCTTGCCTTGACTCTTCTCTTGGTGGAAAATAGGAGGAAAGAAGGGAGAGGTAGAACAGAAGAGGAGAAAAGTAGGGGAGACATATAGGTTAATTATTTTGTCATCACTTTTATATTACTATTACTATTAAGTCACATTGCATGCTTATTCTATGCCACACAACTGTTCATTTCTTTATATGTGTTCTCACAAAGACCATGTTTTAGGTGATCTCTCTATTACCATTTTAGAGAGGAGAAAACTGAAACGGCAAAATTAAAGTAATTCTCTCAAGGTCTCATCACCTTGAGAAACAAGACTAAGAAAACAAGACTCAAGCAAAGTTTAGCTCTTAGCTACCATTCGAAGTATCATAACAAGACCCTAGCAGAAATAAGATTCAGAAACAAGACTTTAAAACAAGACTCAGGCAAGGCCTATTATTAGAACCACCTATTATTAGAATCACCATCCAAACTATCATAACCAACTACCTCCCTAAAGCCATATTCCTAAGCCAAAACTGTAAGAGACAACGGAGGGGAAATTGATGGTAGCAAGTCTCATATTCTTGGAGGCTCTGCTGAATATCAGACAATTATATCCCCAGGTCCCATAGAGAGTAAGTATGTCTCTGAGCTGAGATTCAAGTTAAAGTTCACTTGGTTCTCAAGTCAGATTCTTTTCTTTATACATCAAAGATATCTCTAAAGAAAGCTTCAGGGTTCAACATAACTATAATTTAACCAATGAAATTAAATGAAATGTGTGTTCAATAGGGCTATTAAAATTCATATGAGGGGGTTAGGTAAAGTTGTAGTCATTCACATTCTAAGCTGCAAAGACAAACGCTTAGCAGAGCAAAAAAAATCGGCGGTGAAGACAAAACAATCTGTTCTATTTTCTGTCTTCCAAGTATAATTACTCATTGATATATAAATAGATCACATGTATCAGAAAGCTAGAACATCTGTTCACCCTGGGAATATAGTCCAGAAGAAAGTGCAACTAGATAGATAAAGATGGCTAAGTGCAAACTTCCACGCCTCATTGCTAGGTTAAGCATCTAGCAATAGCAATTGAAGCCCCCTTGAGAGCCTATCTCAGACTAGATTGAAATTGGAACTTTATTTCTCTTTCCAAAGTAAGTTAGTTAACCCACAAAAATTTCTATCAGTCAAAAACTGTTTTGCAAACTTTTGAAATTGTGCAATATATTCCTACACATTTCACTAAATTTGTAGTGATCTTTCTACACGGTGGCTTAAAAGATCATAAGTACCTTTATATACATTTTAATTATACATTAACCATGTCACCATCATATTGCTGCATTTATGTTATACTTAGTCTAATTACTTTTAGACATGGAGTGTGCAACAGAGACGCAAATGGAAGAGTGACAAATGCTAATTTCTATAGCTGAGCTATTGCCACTGAAATTGGTTTAGTCACCCAGCGCTATTTCATCTATTTCA